GGCTAAAACATGGGTCATAGCTCAACGAACTCCCCCTCCAGCCAATGGGTCAAATAGACTTCAACTGGAGGATCTCTTTAATAGGCTTCATGTCTACCACATTAGTACAAAGCTTACGTTTGTCTACAGTGTCTTCTTTCCACTTAGCTCTATGAGTACCTAACATGACTTCATCATAACCTTCAGTTTCTCTCATGTTAGTCAAAAGAACATACTTATTAGGAGAATAATGTGTTGAGTTGTGCTTTCTCCATAATGGATCTTCTACACGAGGTTTCTGGAGCATACAGAGTAGTCATCTCAACACGAGCTATGGATGATCAACCATACCATCATCAATAGGAGCATCTATAGGTACTACACACTGATCATTATCTACAACGTTGTCTTGGATTTCTTCATGTGCAAAAGATGTATCAATAATAAAGACTGGATCAACATCAATTTGAGAATATGCTTTCTCATCCTTGCTAATAACTTTAGTAGTTTGATCTTCAAAGAACGTAGTATCACGACTTCTAATGAGCTTCTTATCAATTGAATCGTAAAAGCGATATCTAAACTCATCTTGATCATAACCAATGAAGATGCACTATTTAGTTTTAATACCCAATGTTGACCTCTCATCTTTTGAAACATGCACACAAGCTTTACACTCAAACACTTTCAAGTGATCATAAAAAACATCCTTAGTAAATCGAACTTTGTTTGGAACATCACTATCTAAAGCAACAAGGAGAGACAAATTGATAACATAAGCAACATTGTTAAGTGTTTCAAGCTAAAATGAATTTTGAAATTTAGCATCTGATAGCACACATCTAACTCTCTCAACTAAAGTTTTGTTTATTCTTTCTGTCATTCCATTTAATCGAGGAGTCTTTGAAAGAATCTTTTGATTAAAAATTTCTTGCAATTTGCAGTAATTATCAAAGAGACCAATATATTCACCACCATTATCAGTGTGAATACATTTTAATTTCTTTTATGTTTGTCTCTTAGCTAAGACTTGAAACTCTTTAAACACATCAAGTACTTGATCTTTGAATTTTAAAGAATATATCCAAACCTTACGAGAATGATCATCAATGAAAGTTGCAAAGTAAATTTGACCACTTTATGACTTCACTTTAAAAGGAACACACAAATCAGAGTGCATTAGCTCTAGTAGTTCAGCCTTTCTTAAAGGAGGAAAAATATGAATAGAAACTCTTTTCTGCTTCTGAGCTAAGTAATGAACACATTTTTTTAAATTTGTTTATTTCACATCTGCAAGCAAATTCTTCTTAGCCAAATATGTGATCCCCCTCTCGCTCATATGACTAAGACCCTCGTGCCACAATTCTGGAAAAGTCTATCTTTCCACAAAGTTTATAGATCACAAAGAATAGATCTTTGTGTCACTTATAAATTTGAATGCTTTCTTGCTCGAGCTATAGTCAATGAGCCTTTGGTGAGCTTCCATTGGCCATTGAACAAGCCATTATGATAATCATTATCATCTAGTTGTCCTACAGAGATCAAATTCATGGAAATGTCTTGAAGAGCATGCTTGGCATTTTACCAATATTGGTTTTCAAATAAACAGTGTCAACACCAAACACCCTAAACTTACCAAAATTACCAATCTTTAGCACCAGAGTTAACAGAAGAGTAATTTGAAAAAAAAATCTTTTTTCGATGTGACATGTCATGTAGCTCCCGAATATACTATCCAACTTGTATCTTAGAGATACAAAAATGATGGCGTCTTTATCACAAGTAAAAAGAAGGTTATCGCGGACAACATTAACAACATTGTTTATGTAATATTTTTTTTTATTCCAAAATTTATTTATATTGTTTTAGAATATACGTATCGATTAGCTAAAAACATGTGCAACACACTTGTCTAGAACTAGTACAATATATATATATGCATCAATGTATTTTAAGAGTCTTAACATTGAGAAAAGACATAAAGTCTCCATTAAAGTTGTCTCAGATTTTTATAAAGACATCTTAGCTTTGCGATTATCCTATTACCCACTAAACAATTTTGAACAGATATTATTATACCATTTTTTGATCAGTCCCAAATTTTAAGAAGCAAGTGAATTTACACCCCAATCATTACATGACACGTGTTAATTTAATTTAAAATATATTTTCTTTTCATTTCAAATTTTTTCCTTTATCTTTTCTTTCTTTATTTATCTCTCTCTCTCTCTCTCTCTCTCTCTCTCTCTCTTACTTTTGAATTTTAATTTTGATATATCTTAAATTTCATTTCATCTTCCACCTCCCACTTTCAAGTGATTCATCCCTTCATTTTTTTTTTCTTCACCTCCCACCCCCATGTCAAATTGAAACTCGCTTTCATTTTTTTCTTTTCTTTTTCTTCTTCTTCTCCAGTCAATTCTTTATAAAATTCATACTATTATTTAGACTTTATTGAATTATTGATAACAAAATTAATTATTTTTTTACGAAAATTAAATTTTGAAGGTATCATCAATTACTCATTTTCATATAAATTCAAAAATTAGAAATGATAATTTTAAAGGAATCAATTAATTTCTAGAAAATTGAAAGAACTTAATTGAAATCGAATAAAAAAACTATATGATACTTCCTAATCATCTTGAAATCTAATGAGTTTATCGAATTGTTCGAAATGTAAGAAATATTTAGATAAAATTTAAAACTAAAGAAAGTAAAACTAATAGTAATTTAAAAAAAAGAAGAAGGTGAAGTTGTGGTAAAAAATTGTGACATTGAAAGTAAGAAGCTTCAATGAATTAAGATGACAATGAATTTTTGAAAAGATAGAAGAAAGAAAGAGAAAAAATAAAAAGGAAAAAAGTTAAAATAATAAGAAAAATAAGAAAATATATGCTATTATAAAATACTTGTAAAAATAAAATTACATTAGTTATTTTAGGTTGTTCACTCTCTTTAAGAGAGTGCACACCACTCTCTATGTCAGATGGACGAAAAATGATATAATTATATATATTCAAAATTACTTAGTGGGTAATATGACGGTTACAAAGTTAAGGTGTTATTTTCAAAAATTCGGGACAACTTCAATGACGACTTTATATCTTTTCTCTTTTAACATTATATATAACTCAAACCTTTAAATCTTACTTTTCTAAATTGCAAGCTATTTTTGAGCCAAAGCCCCTCTCCATTTGATTCTTACTCACTAGACCTGATTTCATATAAATCTGAAGGAACTTTTAATTAAAAATGTATTTTACTAATAATTTTTTTGGAATTCAAAATTTAACAATATTGAGATACAAAATGTTTTTCTTTCAAAATATAATAAGAAAAATTAAAATTAAGATTGAAGAGTATTGTGTGACGGAGAAGGATCAAAGAAAACTGGAATAAACATGCGCTAAAATAATGAAGAGAGAGTATGGACTGATTTGGATGAAGGAACTCGTTTATTAAGGAAAGACTTAAGTCATATGTGGTCTATTAAAGTTGTGCGCATAATTTGTTTGAACACCTCAACTAAGGTTTATACCTATTACACAACTATGCTCTATAAATTGATATCTATTTGACATTTTTATGATAGTCATCATAAAATATGATATGCGTGTACTACACTCGTTGTGACATCACATTGATAAATCAAATGATGACATGTGACATTTGATTTCAAAAATTTATTTTGAAAATGAATTTCTAAAAATAACTATTTTAGTTTACTAAGCTAACTCAAAAAAATAAAAAAGAATTTTCTAAAAAAAACCACCCATCCACCCCACGGCGACCCCTCATTTTTTTCTCTCCAGTTGATCCAGATCGTCCCCAACTCTCCAACAAGACGATTCCTCCCTCAATTGTTTTTTCAATTATAATCCTCCTCTCTCCATCTAGTTTTGGTACGAGGAAGATGAAAAAGATTTCGTCGAAATTTTTTTAATTTCTATTATCATGATCGAAAAATTTGAGTTACCTGACATACTTTTCTGAATTACATAACTAATGTTTATTTGGAGTTGAAGAACTCTTTATTTCTTTTTAACTATCAATTTTTATTATATGAAATTTCATGATACCATTTTTAATAAGCTTAATTAGTTTACATTTCAATTTGAAGTGGTGTTGTTTGTTTGAGTGACAAGAAATAAATCTAGTTATGAACGGAGGTCGACTAACTTTTTAACTTCAATGTCTAAAAATCTTTTTCTTCTTGCAAAATCATATCAATTCGTAGATTCAGAAGCCTTATTTCTTAAGAAAATTTTTTTAAGAAAAAAAGTAACATTTGGAACCTATTAACGTGCTAATACTAAGTGAAGTACACTTATGTTGTCATATCAGTGTTTTATCTTTAATAGTTACATGTTTTGAATAATTTAGATGTTCAATAGGTATAAGTCCTAGTTAAGGTGTCTAAGTGAATTATGCGGATAACTTTAAAAATTTGTTGATGACTTAAGCCTTAAGAAAATAATCAAGTGGGTAGAACTTTATATTAAACTAATTCTAAGAAGTGTTGTATCTTAGCTTATAAATCTAATACACATCTATCAAATAATGGAATGTGATATGCTTCATATGTGTCAAATAGAATTATCTAATTTAACTTGACACACAGTATTTAAGAAATCAAAAAAGACGTTTCAATCTTATGATTTTAAATTAAACTTATGTAAATTATATTAGAATGTCATTTAATCTTATAGTGTTAAACATATTACATAATAAAATTAAATAAATTAAATCCATTATTAAAGAATTTTTTTTCAAAAAGAAAAACAAAGTAAAAAAGAAAAGTAGGTCATTCTAAAATTAATTATTCAAACTCAGTAGATAAAATATGATTATATACTCTTCTATCTTAATTATTTAAATAATGATAGCTAAAAATAAAGGGAGAGAGTTAAAAGGAACGAAAGACACATTTAATTATGTAAATATTTTGTGAGAATGCCAAAATTTGCAATCAAGTGCCACGTATTTCATGGGGGTGCTTTTTGAAAGTCGCACTTCAACTATAAATAAAAGGGTACAAAGAGACAAATATTTTGCAAACGATAAATTTTGAAGGAATATCATGATCCTGCTACTCCTTTTCTTAGCGATTACGCAATTCTCAAACGCTGATGAACCATTCGACGTTCGGAAACACCTTGCCACTGTAACCAGGTCCATTTGATCCCTCAATATACATCGAACTAGGGTTCTACATTTCTGCATCTACGCTCAATTTTCAATTTCTCATTGCTAAATTTGGTGTTTATTTGAGCCTTCTTTTGGCGTTTCCATTTACGATTTTACTCCACCTTTTATTGGCAGGTATGCTGATTCAAAGGACATATCTGCGAATTCTTTTGTATCTTCTGAAATTCCAGATCAATGTACACCAATTCATTTGAATCTGGTGGTGAGTTTGTTTTCCTGAGCCAATCTTAATTAAAAACTGGCAGATTGATAAAATATTCATGTTATTAGAAGAATTGAAATTTGGATCGAACAATATTTAACTGATGCTTACACGTTCAGGAGTGAACTATCTCAACTAGTGTTAATCTCTTGATATATATATCTAGGGTATCCTGACGTATATGTGTTTAGATTTAGTTTAGGGAGGGCTATACACAGGATTTTGGTGCCAGGTGAAGCTTGTCTGCATCATACCATTTTGAAAGAAGAAAATTTCGTGCTTTTCAAATGAGAAATTACTGTGTACTTTAAAACAGAAGCGGAGAATACAGTCTAAAAATTTAGTTTGCTAGCTTCAACAAAGAATTTTAGATGAAGAGAATCACTAATTTTCACTCACTACACCATTCTCTTCTCCTTCTCTGAGTCCAAGGTCAAATTTTGCAGAACCTTTATGGTTGTATTTTCATTTAGAGTGTCTTTACTTCGTTGCTTCCTCAATTTTAATGAGAAATGCTTCTGTTCCACTTTAGTTATTAATTTGGCACTTAACATGCTTTGCATTCTCTCTCACTTGCTTGTCGTAAGGCATCTAATGTTGTAGTAACATGCAGACTCTTAGTTTGTTCCCATGCTGCATACTCTGTATTCTCCTCAAATTATATGACCGACGAGACATCGACATCGACATCTAGTGCACCAAAGAGATTGAGTTTGAAGTTCTTTATGGATATCTGTCTGATGATAAACTTGAACAATTTGGCTGGAATTGCTGAAATTATGCTTTTCCTGTAAGAGATGTTTTCAGAGATAATTTGTTGTGATTGCTTTCTTGTTCTTTGATAGGCAAGACATGGAACTCGTGCACCAACAAAGAAGAAGATAAGGGAATTAGACGCCTTGGATGCTCATTTGGAAGTCCTTGTACGTGATGCAAAAGAACATAAGCAATATTCGGAGAAAATTCCCTCTTGGTTAGCGGGATGGAGGTCTCCTTGGAAAGGAAAAGTTACAGGTGGAGAGTTGATCACTGAAGGAGAAGATGAATTATATCATCTCGGAATCAGAGTCAGAGAAAGATTTCCAGACCTTTTCAATGAAGAATACCACCCAGATGTATATTCAATCAAGACTACCCAGGTTGATAGATCAGTTTATTACTTCTTTATATTCAGTCTGAGACAATGGCAAAGCATGACTAGAGTCATCCTACTGAATAAAGAAGAAAGTATGAATGAAGTTATCCTTCCCTCTGCTGGTCTCAATACTAGTCAAAGAACTTTGCAACAAATGATAAAAAAAAACTAACATGCTAGCAGTAGTGGAAGAGCCAAATTTTGCTAGGACATCATACATCTTTTTATTACTAAAAATCCAAAGAGGATATCTCATCATCTTGTGAGCTCAAGGACTTTTGGTCCTTTGGCTTGCCTCTGCCTTGTCTTCTTTTTCTGGCTTCCTCATGTGTCATGCAGATGATTTCCAAATAAATACTTTAATAGACAACAGGGATATTTGTAGAGGCTTTTGTCTTTTTGCTGCTTTTGTCAGGCAAATCATATGGTTTTAGAAGTAGCTGCGGAGTGTCTTTATTTATCCACCAAAGCACATATTTAAGTGATGCATCAAGAATTCAATTGTTTTACAAGTATTTGGATTTGCATGATTGGAGAACTTATCTACATTCTACAAATATGCCCTTTGTATTCAAAGGTTGCAGTCTCTAATTTCATGTCAGTTTCTTGTTAGCTTCTCAGTCATATTGCCTTCAAATTCATGTTTAACTATATAGGTTCCTCGGGCATCAGCTAGTGCTGTGGCATTTGGGATGGGTCTATTTAATGAAAGAGGGAAGCTTGGACCAGGAAGGCATCGAGCTTTTGCAGTTACAAGCGAAAGCCGTGCAAGTGACATAGTTTTGAGATTTCACGATTGTTGTCAAAGCTACAAGGTACACATGCAAATTTTATCTTTCATTTATGGTGGAGGTTTCTGTATGAATAACATCAAAATTAGTTGCCATTCATGCATTTTAACTAGTTTTTTGAGCTGTTGCTTGTAAATTTGGGACTTGAAGTAATAATAACTACATCAATGCTGGTTAAGTTAGAGTATAAACATTGTTTGATTGTTTTCAAAAGTTTACAATTTTCTGTCACGCAATGAAGTCTCTTTCCTCAAATAGCAAAGTTAAACATCTCCTAGAGGTGTAAAAATAAAATACATGCCGACTAAACTGCGACTGAGCCAATGGAGATTAACTTATTATTGAAGATGTTGCTGGAAGTATAGAACACAACTTCTAAATATGGGTTAAGTAATTTCTGGTTTGCATATTTTTAGAAGTCTAATGTACATAGAAATGCAAACTTGCTTTCATTTATCGACAAAGTGCTAACTCTGCATGTTTCTAATTTAAAAATAAAAATAAAGGAGTGTTCTGTATTGTACACTGTTACTACCTTTTTTTTTTAAAGTAACCGCCTTTGTTGTCTCTCTTGCTCCTTTTTATCGATGTGGGTGCTATCTGATCTAAAGAAGACTTAAGCAAGACTTTACAAATTGGGTGTTATTTCTTTCTGGGTTTTGGTGAGTGGGTGGGAATGGGGGTTTGATTGGAGAGTCGAGTGAGCAAAAAATTATGATACTTTTTCATTTGGTTGCAGGCTTTTAGAAAAAGTCAGGAGCCAAATGTTAACAAGCTCAAAGAACCTCTATTGAATGAAATTACTCATGAATTAGTCAGGCAATATGGGCTTAATTTTACAAATCAAGATGTATCTTCTTTATGGTTTCTCTGCAAACAGGTGAGTATAGTAATATTAGTGTTCTGATGAGTGCTAAACCTTGTATAAATTTTATCGAGAACTTATTTCCTAAATAACTTTTCTCCCAGGAAGCATCCTTATTGAACATCACCAATCAAGCTTGTAGTCTGTTCAGTCCATCTGAGGTAGTGCTAATCCTATTCTGGTTTTCTTCGTTTCTATTTCCTGTTTTGGGTTTCATGGTTCCTGCTGCTATGTTTTTTCCCTTTCCATTTTCTTGGGGGAGAATATGGAATGCAGGGAGAGGGTGAGAGATAAGTCCATCTCCTTTGATGTTTGATTAAAACATATGGTTTACTTGTTGAGCTCCGTCTTTAAGTACATCTCCAACTTTTCATTTAATGGAATATTGGAGCTTTCTTGCTGCCATCCCTGGTTACTGACAAGTTCACATTTAGGTTTCTTTGTTGGAGTGGACTGATGATTTGGAGTTGTTCATACTGAAAGGCTATGGTGACACACTAAATTATCGAATGGGAGTGCCACTTCTTGAGGATGTTGTTCAATCAATGGAACAGGCAATTAAGGCTAAAGAAGGTGATACTAGTTCAACAAGCTTTTCTTTCTTCACTTTTTTTTTCCTGGGGGTTAAATAGTGTCTCATAAGGCATATGGATGTCTTATTCTTGTTGCAGCTAACGAGATCACAAAGGAAGAGATAGTTATGGTCTGACTGATGTTTACTAAAACCAAACCAGTAAATGTAATAAGATCTTTGTAATCTCGCTACTATCTCCTTCCGAGTAATCTTGAAAATTTATGTCCTAGATTGGCCACTAATTTGCATATTCTGTCCTTGTTCCTTGAATTTAAGCTTCAACCAGTTATCTTTCTTTTGTAATATGATTTGTGTATATCTCTCGTCTCTAATTCCAAGCAATCCAGAAAATTTACATCCTAGATCAGCCACTAAATTTGCAGATTCTGTAATTATTCCTTGAGGTTTATGCTTCTATTTATAAGCTGTCCTTTCAATTAGGTGCTTCTGTTGTACAAATTATCCTCATGCTGTTGATTCCTAGTATGAATGTCTCCCTGTATTGCACACTCTAGTCTATCTGAAATTCTTCTATCCTACTAATGTCATTTTTCATCATGTATGTGTATGTATTTCCTAAACTGAACTTAGATCCAAACAATAAATTTGTTTATAGGTGAATCAATTATACTCTGAGGGTAATCTGTATCTAATTTTGTATTTCTTTTGCTTTCACCTTTTCTTAATCTCTTCTGTACATTCTCCTCCTTCAGAAGGATATGCTACAGGGATCTATGAAAAAGCAAGAATGCGTTTTGCTCATGCAGAAACTCTCCTTCCCTTTTCATGCCTAATCGGGCTCTTTCTTGAAGAATCTGGTGAGTGTTTGTACAGTAGAATTGTAGTAGTTATTGGTCCTACTCTGATTTTGTAAATCTGTTTCTGATGGCTGAAGAGTTTGAACGGATACAAAGAGAGGAAAGCTTGGAACTCCCTCCTAAGCCTCCTAAGAATAGAAACTGGCGGGGAAGTAATGTGGCTCCTTTTGCTGGAAATAACATGTTAATCCTTTATAGCTGCCAATCGGACAACTCAAGCAAGTACTTTGTGCAAGTGCTACATAATGAACGTCCCATAGCATTGCCAGTAAGTGTTTCGGGATTTATATTATGGCGAATATGAATATGTTTGTTCCTTGCTTTTCAATTCATCTTCGCTGATTAGTAGGATACTGGAGATTTTTCATAGACCTTTTAATTAAAAAGAAATAAACTGTTTCACTGGCAGCCTAGTCCATGTTGCTCAATTAGTGGTTTTGTTCCAATTGTTCATCTGATGTGATCGTGTCAGAGCAGTGAACTTACACATTCATAAAATGCCTTATTTCAGTCTAAGTTTGAGAAGTACATAAAAGCCCACGAGTACTTTCCTGTGAAACAGTTTGTATCGGGTTACCCTTAGATAATCATGATGGTGTAAGCTTTCATTCTGGTTTTTCTTTGCGCGTTTTCTTCTCCGTCATTTTTTTCTTTAATAATAAGATTTTCTGAAAGAGTGACTGGAAACATCACACTACTTATAGAAACCACTTGTCAAAATGCTGCTAACAACTTGTGCTGCAGGTGCCATATATTTGTTCCCTTTGGGAATTTTGGTGGCTATTGATACTTGCTAATTGTGTCCATTCTGATTTGATGCTTCTCTCTGTTCTTGTAGGGTTGCCATGGTTCGAGTTTTTGCCCATTCGAAATATTCAAGGTATTACTTTCATATATCACTAGATGTTTCAGATTACTGAGGCATAGGCTATCCATTAAGTCTCACCCATTCTAACTGTCCTCTACAGGATAAAATAGCTGCTCCTCATTTGAAACACGACTACAACATGCTTTGCAACGTAATAGAACAGAAACAGAAGGATTCTGCTTCCAGTAAGTTATCACAAATACTTGGTTGGTTTTGGTCTTTGAAAAATGCTGGTTCATTGGCCCGGAAAGATGATTTATAGTTTCTGACAAGTTTCTTTTCGTTTCTTTTTTTACAAAAATCTTTTTTTCTATGTTTGGCTGGTTGTGTCTTGCTTATTAGCATGATTCAATCGTTAGGCCATGCAGATGATCCTGGCAGGTTACGATTGCTAGGCCAAACACTGCATGGATGAATTTTAGGTAGCTGGTGGATTTTTGGAGGTCTAACCATAGGTAGCAAAGAAGGAATATAATCAGTGGAAATCTTTATTAGTGTTAATTGTATGTTTTTTCACATACGGGAAGTTTGTGTAATGGCCATATGCCTAGAGTATGTCGATCTTGATTTGTCTTGGCCATCTGCACTTACATATTATGTTAACATAGATTTTGCAACAACCTTAACATAAATATGGCACCCAGATTTGGTTACTAATCCATTATTAATTGGGATGTGCTGAATGATCGATTTTGCTCTTGGAACGGAGATGTGTCCCAAAGCATCTTTGAAAGGGAAGCAAGAAGAAGAAGAAGTAGTTTATGAAGAGAATTAAGGATTGGGTGAATCAAATTGTAATTCTCATTTCTGCAATAATTCCAAACACATTGTAGCTATTTATATAATTTGCTAACAAATTTTGATTATCTCTTAACTGCAGACATTTTCTAGCTAACACTGTGCAACATGAATTAGCCTAACTAACTTAGTACAAATATCAACAATTATGATAGATCCATGAACACAATTATCGTTGCCAACTTGCTAATAAGGTAATCATGCTGTTGTTTTACAGTCCCGTAGTCTGCCATCTGTTCTTACTGCCCACATGATCTGTTTCTGATCAGTTAATGTAATTTTTCTAACAAAATGACAATCAATTTCTACGTGCTCTGTGCACTCATGATACATCTAGTGTTGACTTCTTGTCAGATAAAAGGTTCATAGGAAGTTCAATTTGTACCCACCAATTCCTTCAGTAAAGCATGAATTCATGTTTATAACTTCGACATTGTCCCGGCCGTTCTTCCATAGTTTCTGTAGTACTCCTTGAGATTGGTTGAATTTTTTCTTATTTATCTCCTTCGTATCAACGGAGAAGGACCAAAAATATTCTGGATTATTTGAAAAAAAAGTTAAAAAGTACCCCTCATTCATCTGTTGGTTAAAAATATCACTCAATCCACTTTTTGGTCTACTATTACCTTTAAAAATAACATGCTTTTATTATTTAATTTTATTATTATTAATAATTACGTGATATTTCTTTATTGGATAAATTTAAATTTCAATTCACCAATCTTTTTTCTATCATTTCAACCCATATCCAAATTCTTTGGCCCAAGCTCAATTGAGAAATTCATCAAAAATAAAAAATTTGATCGATCTCTTCTCTCTCTTAAACGTAATAACCTATTTTCCTGTCGGCTTCGGTCACCTCTTATATATTTTCAACATTTTCTTTGTACTTAAACTACGTTTGACGTTAATTCTCAAGAATAAGATATGTAGGTGGCCTATGTTGATATAAATTGTTTTTTAGTCAATTTTTTTCATTTTATGTATTGAGAGAAAATCTATGTTTGACTTGCTTCGTATAGGCGCAACATGTTCGGTTCATATATACCCTCATAAAATTTCTATTTCCCACTGCAATTTAAATCAAGACAATATTTTAGAGAAATTCAAGAATCCTCAAGATTTCTATTTTCCATTGCAATTGGACAATTTTTAGGAGATCTCAAAGTTGTACAAGTCTTCAATCAGGAGTGTGAAGCTAACTTTGACTTATCCCCAAAATTGTTATACGATCAGAGTCAACTTCAACCGTCTCCGACGCCGTCAAAGTTCACACAACCTCAATTATTAAAAAAAAAAACTTTAAGAGAACTATGCCAGATTGCCCAAGCTTCAAGGATCTTTCAAACAAGCTATCGGATAAACCTAAAGCTTTGAACAAAGGACATTCATGACACTTCGCAATAAACTTTTTTAAAAAATTCTTTTAAAAACCCTAATTTTCTTAATGAGTTTCTATGTGTCCACATTTTTGGTAAAAGATTTTCTATCTTGTGTCTATCAAGAAGCGAGAAATTAGAGCAATCAACGGAATATTAGCAAGATGCAGAGAAACACTTTAACGTTTCTAATATCAAAGAAGAAATGCGTAACATTGTTTTGCTCAAATACCCAGCAAGACTAAAGTCACAATGAACATACAAGTGTGTGACATATCGCATTTTTCAGAGTCAATGACAATTTAGGGTGTGTATTACAAGGGGGACATTATCTTCATATTATTATCCAGAGGTTCATTCACTCCATATTATCAAAACGAGATAATATAATCACCTAGACATTCATGCTTTATCATCAAAGGAGAATATCATCGCCCAGAGGGGCATCCGTACCATATTATCAAAAGAAATAGTACTACTATTCCACATAGGAACATCATCTTCACGTTATTGCAAGAAAACCATCACTATAATACCATCGCTAAGCAACATACTGCATCACATTGATTCATTACCTATTCCGTCAAAATCAGAAGAGGATAACGTTTGAGAAATATATTATAAATAGCATCAACTTTGGAAGTGGTGGATGTGAGCTTTATTTGCTCTGCATCAAACTAAAGGAACCTGACATCACATTTTCAAAGAGATGAATAATATTTACGACATAGTATAGGGTAGTACCTCTCTCTTTGAAATATATTTTATGCAAAGGTGTTTAATATCAGTCTCTGTTGAGAGAAATTGAGACGGTGAATTCTCAATCAAACTATAAATATGGATTACATAAAAAAGGGTGCCGATGTAGAACTTTTTCTTAGTAGCGAACTAGGACATAGCCCTAAGAGGAATATCAAATTCTTTGGATGCAAATTCACGAATGACTTTCACCACAATCAAGTCATACCGCTATCAGGATGTATTTGGGTATTTCATTAGGCTTATTAGTTTCAATTTCGCATTTGGAAAAATTCGAGCCAGATCGGAGGCAACTTTTTGATCCAAGTGATAATGCACCGAAAACTTTGAAAATTCTATCTGTATAAGATCTTACTTATGGAGGTAAAATCTCCACATTCATAGCTAAGAGGTTTCTAGCCACTTTTTCATAACTCGACTTATTTGTCATCTTCTAGAATCGAAGGTTATCTTGGCATACTAAATTTCCTTTTCAACTAATTGGATTGAAATACAAACAACCGACTCCCAAGGTATAATGAAGTAGGCGGGATCAATGTTGAAAAATCAGTTGTATTCAAATAATCTCTCTTAAATCTTATTCTCGAGCATCCTGATTTTCTCATAATTTGATACTGGAATAGCTTTCGAATTCTTTCAAATTTGTCCATCAAATCAAGCATCTTATCGAATTACAAGTGGTCTAGATTCTAATATAGCCTAAGATCTATAGAAATTAAGTCCGACCATAATTTTATAAAGCATGTACAATATCTCTTTCAGGAAGATGAAGATGTGATTAGCCAAAGTTAGATTTGTCAATTTTCTTTTGTGAAGATCTCTTTCATTGACCCTATCCAAAGAAAGGAATGATTTCTAACACCTAATTTTATCCCTTCATGATATAGATTAATCATCGAGCTTATTTAATTTTAAATAATTTGAAATAATTAGTTTTATAAAGATCTAAAATATTTCTCAAGTTATTGTCAATAATTTAGTGATTTCTATGACTTTAAATAATATATGTGATTCTATATAATTATGTATATAATTACTACATTATACGAATATACAAAAATCGTTTTACTTTTTTTTAAAGTTGTTAATTAGTTCGGTTCAATTAGTAGATTATATTTTTGAATTAATTAGTTTATAATTAAGTTAATTATATTTTATTTCATTAAAATTAAGGATTTCATTAATTAATTAATATTAATTCATCTTATTTAATGTTTAGTTGAATTCACCAATTAAATTCAATTATAACTAACTTCTTAATTCATGTCACGACCCAGACCGTCGTGATGGACACCCGTACTAACTCTTCGGTTGGAGAACCATTACTACAGTCTAACTGACAATTTAATGCTACGGAAGCAGGCTTAATTGACTAAATTATTTATTAAGGAGTTCTCATAAACTCCGAAGGTTTAATAAAACAAATGGACTAACACGAATGGGAAATACAACCCCGAGAACCTGAAAGTCAATGTACCAAAACTCTAACAACGACAAGTCTAAGAACAAAGGGTACAACAAACAAATAATCTGAGTCCGAAGAGAGTGAACTTAAACAAGATATATCCCTGGAGCCTGAAAGAACTGGCTCATCTTTGAATCCGATCACGCTTAGTAGTCACCTAGTTGAGGTCTATCAATAGCCATCGGAAGATGCTCATCACTCAACAAAAATAAGAGTAAGTGCAGTATCAGTACTGGCAGGATTATGCGGCTATCCTGCTAAGTGAAACATATATAAGTAATTACAACAATATAACCATGTACTGAATATCAACAACATTGATTAACAAAATCTTCATATCATAAGAGAACCCAACCACAACCACTCTTAAAGTCCACTTGGGTAATGCATGAATGAAGTTATATCCCCGTTTGAGAAGTCATAAGTCATAGTTCATGTTCATGTTCATAACAATAAGTCGATATATTACAAGCCAATGGTCTTCCCATGGAACCCAAGCCCAAACTATTAGTGCACCGGAACGTGGTACCCGATTCAATATTTATGTCGAAACGTGGCAGTCGATCTTATATATCAAATACTTAAAGCTATAACAAACACAAAAATATCGTTCAAAAGTTAAAAAAAAAAAAGTTGTAACTTTAAAAAGTCTAAGGCGCCATTAACTATCTCAAATTTAATTTTCATGGTCTCGTGTAGAATAATTGCTGGTATTTGGAGGATGTTATTTTGCTATGCAGGGTTCACCAAATTTTCTAACAACAATATCAATTACTTAACTTTCTTTGATCGGGCAATCATCATTCTTTGTTTTTCCATGATGTCATATGATTATGGCATACCTTTGACGGTGGCATTTTGCATCGATATCAACCAAACGAATATAAAAAATTCCATTACTGTTATGTACAAATTACAATTTCAAAAATATACCAAATGGTGTTTGTTTCAAAAATTATTGAAATCTCTCTTGCCCAAGGAAAGTCAACAGATCATCAAAAATATTCATGTTTGTGCATGAAGATCAGTGTGTATATGTCTTCGTTACCTATAAAATAAAATTACTTACTTTGAATAAAAACATACATCATACCAACATTATTCATGTTTCATTCCAACACCAGTATTATTCATGTTTTATTCAACACCAACTTCAATTTATAAATAGTTATAAATTAATTATATCACAAAACTTATACAAAAAATAAATCAAATTCATTTCAATACTCATACACCATATATAAAATTCAATTTACACCGATACTATTCATGTTTCATTCCATATCCATATACATAAATATTAGTTATAACATACGATATTTGGGAGGGGGGGGGGGGGGGGAGACCATATTATTCAAACATCATATCATATTCATGTGCACTGTGTCATTTAACAAACGACACTAAAATCAACTAATTAGACTATAAATATCAAATCAATTTCATATCAATGTCAAATCACACTTCATATCA